ACCCTTTCAGTCATATTCAACATATGTTTGCAAGAAAGACTGTTAGCAAAATATACTAATATATATATATTATGTGTTTATTACAATGCTAAGCGTTTTGGGGTATATATTTATTGGATAGGTTGTAAATTGTTGAATTGTCACGCTTGTTGAGTTGATTGTTAAGTAAGTGTTGCATGTCTTTGTGGTTCTTCGTTGCCTGGTTGTATTGTTTGTGGTGTCTGTTTGTGGTGTCTGTTTGTGTGTTTGAGTGACCAAGCCGCGGCTCACAAAGTAGTGTGGAAAGTCTCCCGACTCCACGTTCGATTCCCGATGGTCCTGGCTCTCCATTTGTGTGTGTGTCCCCTCCTCACGATGCATCTGTTTCACCTGTGTGTCTTGTCGCACCTGTTTTTAATCTCCTTCCTCACGCCCCCACTCCCCCCCCCTTCAAGGACAGGAAGAATTGCCTTGCCTCCCCCAGACACTCCCAAGGGGGCTTCCTATCCTCCCCTACCCCAAGGAGGCTTCCTATCCTCCCCTACCCCAAGGGGGCTTCCTATCCTCCCCTACCCCAAGGAGGCTTCCTATCTTCCCCTACCCCAAGGAGGCTTCCTATCTTCCCCTACCCCAAGGAGGCTTCCTATCCTCCCCTACCCCAAGAGGGCTTCCTATCCTCTTATGCCATCCTACAAATAACCTTCCTATCCTACCTATTCTTCCCTCCCCCACCTCCCCTCAAGGAGGTTTCCTGTCTCCCATCTCAAGGGGGGGGCTTCCTATCCACCCCTACCCCAAAGGGGGCCTCCTAATCCCCCTATCCCAAGGAGGGTTCCTATCCTCCCCCACCTCAAGGAGGGTTCCTATCCCCCCCCCTTGTAATTACCACCTTTTATTACCATTCCTCCGCCCCTTCTCCACACCGTTAAAACTATTAGCAAAAAAGCGTGCGTCTGGTTATTGGGAAGGTGCAGGCCCTGTGTTCTCACGAGGGGGGGGGGTGGAAAAGGAGGGGGCGAGGAGGGGGAGAGGGGGAGAGGGAGGGGGAGTGGAGGCGCATCCTGAACTCCATTTGTTTTTCCACCCCCCCCCCCCCCCCACAACACACCGCAACACTTTGTACGGACGTGGTTAATTGTTTTCTTAAAGTCTTGTGTGGTGTTTCTTCACTCTCTCTCTCTCTCTCTCTCTCTCTCTCTCTCTCTCTCTCTCTCTCTCTCTCTCTCTCTCTCTCTCTCTCTCTCTCTCTCTCTCTCTGCTCACCCGAATATTCTCCCTTCCCATTGTCCATGTTCTTCCCTGCTTGTTCATCCCCTCTCTCTCTCTCTGTCTCATGCATTCTTTCTGTCCTCGTTATGTCTGTTAGTCTATACGTCCATTGACGGGTCCATCTGTCTGTCTGTATGTATATATGAATCCTATATCCTCCTGTTTTTGGTATTACTTATAGTAACGATGAGGACCTTAATATATATATATATATATATATATATATATATATATATATATATATATATATATATATATATATATATATATATATATACAATGAAATTAGAAAGTAGGAATGGGGACTATTGAGTTGGACAAACCGGAAAACTATTTTCTACTTGTGTTGCGAAGACGCAGTTAGACCAACCTAATTTAACCTTCCTTAGGCCTAATACACGATATCTGAGGCCTAATATAGTACATATGTGGTCTATACAAGGCCTAGGAATATTTATGTTTGCTTTTTTAGCTTCATAATTTTTTGTTCCGACTCTTTGCAATGAATAGTACAAAGTTCTATACTATCTAATTGTTTAGTACGTCAGTATTTGTACTATAGTGAACATAGTTGCAAAATGCTACTATTTAAAAAGGAGAATGGAATGGTGTGTGTGTGTGTCACTTTTCTTCATCTCCTCTCCCTCTCTCCCATTCTCTCCCATCCTCTCCCTCACTCCCTCCATCTTCTCCAATACTGTTTATCTCGGTTATTTTTCCCCTTGGACATCTTGGTTTATCCGGATTCTTCTGCCCTTGCTGCATCTCCCCTCGTTTAGCCGACATTCTTTCCCCTCGTCTCGTGTACTAATCCCCTTTCCACTTAACAGGTCTTCAATAAAAGTTAAGGAAATAAATTATGATATTATTGGTAAATATATATATATATATATATATATAATATATATATATATATATATATATATATATATATATATCAAAGACACGTAACTGATATCAAACTGAGAGCGAAGGAGCCATCTGGGATGAGGCTGGATAATGTGGAACACACACTCTCTCTCTCTCTCTCTCTCCTCTCTCTCTCTCTCTCCTCTCTCTCTCTCTCTCTCTCTCTCTCCCTCTCTCTCTCTCTCTCTCTCTCTCCTCTCTCTCTCTCTCGTTATCGTTTCGTTCTAGAGCTTTCTTAGCTTCGTTAGTTAGACATGACTGGTGTACAGTGAAGGCGTGCTGGTGCTCTGAGACAAAGGGTCGTGTTTTGTGTGTGTATTCAGCTATTTGTGCTTGCGGGGGTTGAGCGCTGCTCTTTCGGCCCGCCTCTCTCACTGTCAATCAACTGTTACTAACTACTATTTTTTTTTGACACCATACACACAGGAAGCAGCCCGTAACAGCTGTCTAACTCCCAGGTACCTATTTACTGCTAGGTAACAGGGGCATCTGGAGTGAAAGAAACCCTGGCCATTTGTCACTGCCAGCGCCGGGAATCGAACCCGGGCCACAGGATTAGGAGTCCCGCGCGCTGTTCACTTAGCTATCCCCCATACCTTGAGGTGCTTCCGGGGCTTAGCGTCCCCGCGGCCCGGTCGTCGACCAGGCCCATGGTTGTGGTTGCTGTGTGGTTGTTGATGTTTTGGTGATTTGAGGTCAATCTTTGTTTTCTAGTTGTTTGATTCGTTTCTTAATTGAACGTTCTCACTCTTTCCTTGTTTGCTCTGTTTGTTTTCTTTGTTCATCTCCCTTTGCTTCTGCCTTGTTGCGTATTTGTATATTTTCTTCGTGCTGGATTTCGAATTAAATGCCCGGGGCTGCGTGGTGCCTAAAGTTTGGTCTCACGTACGTAGATTGTACGAAGTGCTTGGAAGGAATGTTTGTCGGTTAGTGTGAGCTATTCCGGCTCCCGTGACCTGTTCGACATACGCCGCTGATGTTATTCTGCTAATGTTTACCGCTGGCATTAGATTTGGGTTTATATCTGTTGCCAAGTCTTCCTCCTTCTTGAGGTTATCTTGAGATGATTTCGGGGCTTTAGTGTCCCCGCGGCCCGGTCCTCGACCAGGCCTACACCCCCAGGAAGCAGCCTGTGACAGCTGACTAACACCCAGGTACCTATTTTACTGCTAGGTAACAGGAGCATAGGGTGAAAGAAACTCTGCCCATTGTTTCTCGCCGGCGCCCGGGATCGAACCCGGGACCACAGGATCACAAGTCCAGTGTGCTGTCCGCTCGGCCGACCGGCTTCCCTCCTTGATGGTGGGATTGGGTGGTTATAGAATAGGAGCTGCCTCGTATGGGCCAATAGGCCTTCTGCAGTTACCTTTGTTCTTATGTTCTTATGTTCTTAAGATAAACTCCTATTATTCTTAAATTCAGGTTTATGTGTTACTCTTAAAGATTTTATGTGTGTCACCCATCACCACTCTACAAATATGCAAAACTAGAACCATTCCCTTGATAAAATGCTTCCCCCGTCCCCCCCTCCGCCCCCCCCCCTCACAGCTACAGGTGGGAGATGTTGTCATGACAACGGTTTGTACACAAATATGACGTCATTGAGGTAACTCGAGTGTAAATCAGTACGTTTTTATTATATATATATATATATATATATATATATATATATATATATATATATATATATATATGACAATGTCAGACCACGGAGGAAAATGAAACAGGAATTTTCCTTAAGTACTTTCGTATATTAAATGCATCTTCAGAAGGAACGACATTGTCACATTCAGAAGGACATTGTC